AAGAAGAATCCAAAAAAAAAAAAACCCCAAGAATAGTTTCAAGCAGCCTCTGGGACAACATTCGCATCATACGTGTGTCAGGAGAAAAGAAAAAGCAAGAAATGGATATCTATTTGAAAAAACAATGACAGAAAACTTCCTTAACTTGGTAGAGTAAATTGACATACAAGTCCAGGAAGCACAGAGAGCCCCAAACAAGACGAACCTGAAGAGATGAACTCACATCGAGATACATCATAATTAAAATGTCAAAGATTAAAAATAAAAAAGGAATCTTAAATGCAGCAGGAGAAACCCTGTTAGTTACCTGGAGGAAAGTTCCCCTAAGACTTTCAGCTGATTTCTCAAAAGAAACTTTGCAGGGTAGAAGGGACTAGCAAGAAATATTCAAAGTCGTGAAAAGCAGGGACCTACAGCCAAGATTGTTCTACCCAGAAAAGATATCATTTAGAATCGAAGGGCAGGTAAAAAGCTTCCCAGACAAGAAAAAACTAAAGGAGTTCATCGTCACTAAACCATTATCATAGTAAATGTTAAAGGGACTTAATTAAGAAAAATAAGATCAAAACTATAAATACATATTTATCAACAATTGAATCTAAAACACAAACTAAGGAAACAGGAAGAACAGAGACAGAACCATGGATAAGACAGCATTTTGATGGTTGCCAGATGGGAGGGAGGTGTGGGGGATGGTGAAGAGGTGAGGGGATTAAGAAGTACAGATAGGTAATTACAAAATAGCCATAGGGGATGTACAGTAGAGTATAGGAAATGGAGTAGCCAAAGAACATATATGCAGGACCCATGGACATAAACAATGGTGCGGAGATTGCCTGAGGGAGTGGGGAGTGCTGGGTGGAACAGGGCTAAGGGGGTAAAATTGGGGTGACTGTAATAGCATAATCAAGAAAATATAATTAAAAAAGGCATTAACTAAATCCATCTTAATGGTAAGGCAAGTACAGAAACAATTACATTAATATGACAAATGCTTTAATAAAGGTACATAAGCAAATTCTATCAAATTAGGAAAGATGACACAACTATATCAGCTTACAGTGGAGGGCGCATAATGAAAACATTTGATTTGGGCTTTTAAGGATATTACCATAAAGCAAAGGTCTGGAACAGTCATTTCAAAGAGCAACAACTGCACAGGCACAGAGAGGTCAAAGGACAGTCATGGTTCACTGGGTGTGGCTGCTGGGTGACCAACAGGTGACGGGATAAAGGGGAGGAAGGAGAGGAATGCTCAAGGTCAGACCTGGCAGACAGTAACTGGTGTCAGACTGTGCAGGGATCTGACGTACTGCTGAGGAACCTGGACTTCCATACGTGATTGGGAGAAACCAAAGATACTTGGGCAGGAAAGAGGTATAATCACACCCATGTTTCAAAAAAGCCATTCCATTAGGAATATGGAGAATGATGAGAAGCAGGAAGACTAGTCTGGTTGCCTCTGTGGTAGACTAACCCAAAATAGGTGAGAGAACAGACAAATTTCATCAGAGATTTAGCAAGTAAAAAATCCCATAGGATTTGATAACTGGTTAGATACTGGAATGCAAGAGAGACCAAAATATAAGGTGACTATGGTGTTCTCAGCTTGCCTGAGCGGATGGTGGTATCACTGTAATGCTGTACAGGTGTAGATGTAAACAAAGCTGATTTTGTATCTGTGTGCCGGATAGCTTTCCAGTTAGCACACGTGTTCTGAACCCTGACCTAACTAGACTCAGCCAGCACCAAAGCCTCATAGATAATAATTAGCTGTGACCCTTAAGCTTACACAATGTAGCCATAAAGATTTCTGTCACTGAAGGCCAGACTGGCATAGCAACTGAGATCTTTATCAAGCTAGGTGCTGGTGTGAACTGTAAGCAATTATCCATCCTAAGACCGCAAGGAGATATGGCTCCTGGTTCGTACTACATTCTTTGTACCTCTGTCTTGTCAGTCATTAGCAGTTCAGCTGTACTAGAAAACATTTACTGTAACAACTGTCTAGCAGTGAAGAATAATCTGCACAGAGCGCTGCTGGGTTGTCTGACTGTTCCAACCAAATCTTCCCCAAGTAAATTACTATACAATTGACTCTCTTATAATCAATAAAGTTGCATGATTTCATTCTTCAGTCTTAATATACCTTCTCATTTGGGGGGACTGTACCTTTACTCCATTGTCAGACAAACAGAAATGGGGACTACTGGGAGAGCTAATAGATTGGGTTTGACAGGGATGGGGTATGTGACGAATGATGGGGTCAGCATGGGGCTTAATCTAATTGCCTGTGGCTCATCTTGGCTGCTAGACATAAGCAGGAGCCTACATGCAAATAGGACCCTGAAACTCAACAGTGATCCCAGTAGTTGAAGTCATAAGGGGTAGAGGCTGTCAAGGTAGGCAATGTAGCAGGGGAAGTACACTAAGTAAGTAAAACCAGGAAACATAAACACTAAGAAGAAACTAACGACTGAGAAGGATATCACCACCCCACTAAAGGTTGGTAAGAGTCTATAGCTACTCTGCATGTTATCTCCCGTGCCACACAGCCCCAAGTCCATACAGCACCTGAGACAGTACAATGCAACCAAAAAAAAAAAAAAAACATTGACAAAGAATCTTCTTCCTTCAACCTTTAATACCAGAGGTAAGTAAAAACCTTAAGATCTCAATCCTTGGCTTTAAAAAAAAATCTTTAATTTTGCTTTTTCCTGAGTATCATGCTAATTGAGTTAATTTGTATATTCTCTGTATGTAATTGCTCTTACAGTACACCGGTGTCTGGAAGGGAAGAGAAACATACCTCAGTCAACCTACAGGCGGTTTAGATAGATACTACGAAATTAAACCTGGTTTAAGTGTTTTTAGATTTCTGCTTTCAATTTATTTTATTTGTTGAATGTAGTAAGTAGGTATTCATGAATACATTGCTGTAACTTCTGACATCTAACATAAAATCTTCTGAAATCAATAGCAATATGATTTTAAAACTCCAATTCAATTTTGAAGTTTAAATTCAAATGCACATCACAAACTGGCAATAATGTATTGAAATTATAGAATGTTCTATGATTCAGAGACTGTACATCATCTTGGGGCATCATCTGACACAGAGAAAGTAATCAATAAATAGGAGCTATTTTTATTATTACTGTAATGGGAGGCACAGCTAAGTCCAAACTATCTTAACCTAAAGAAAAAAAAGTGCATAAAGAAGTGTCACTTGACTTTTCTTTAAAAAATAATAGCTAATTGATCACTGGTAACAACAGAAATATTAATATTTATTATATATGAGGTAATGTAAATATTAACTCATTTAACCCTTTCAAAAAGCCCCAAGAATAAGATACTAACATTATTCTTATTTTACAGATGAAGCTGGGCAAAGAAATTCAAGTAACTTGCCCAAGGTCATTGAGTAATAAATGCTAAATCCACTGATTTTAACCAAGCTCTATTTCCTTTTTGTCACTCATCTCTTCAACTCTTTAATTTTTAAAATTCTCAGTGATCCTACAAGCTCATATAATTTTAAAGGGCTGGACTCAGGGGTCCCACAAACCCTAAGTTGAGGACCCTGCCAGAAATAGAACCTTTAGTAAATATTATTTTATGTTTGCGAAAAACAAAACTTTTCTTAAAACACAGTTATCAACAAAACAAAATTAGACTTAGAATGACTGAGTCTACAGTTACTTTTTACTTTACCCTAAAAGTATAGTTAATAGCTAACATTAAGAACCAAATGTTATTTAAAGAGCACTTTATGTATTTTATTGTTTAATTAGCATAACCCTATGGAGTAGGTATTCTATAACCTTCATTTTATAGATGGGGAAACTGAAGTAAAAAGTATCTAAATAACTTGTTCAGTAACAAGTAACAGCGACTATGTATATTCCAGAGTCTGTTCACTTAGCTATTACATTATACTATATCTCAATATATCACTACATATGCTGGAGAATTGAGCATCCAATATCAATTACAATACATAATGACTGGAAAAGTACTCTTTAAATATCAAGGGTCATACATTTATTATCGTAGGTGTTTATTATTACAAAGAAATAGTTAACAGAAAAAGAAAAGAAAGGATTAGGTGATGCAAAGACAGGTAAGCTACCAAGTTTTGGCTAAAAATACCCAGCTACCACAAACTCTCCAGTTTGGAAAGTAAACCTAAGTAACTTTTTTCATCTATATTACCTCCAAATTTACTCTCTTACACAGGAATGCTAGTAGACATGATTTTTCCCTTTACGAACCTAACATAATAAATTAGTTCCCTTTTCTTCTAATCTTCTCAAACCGTGGATTGTTGTCCCCCGCCCCACACTAATTATGCTCCAGTAACTGAAGCTCTAATTGCAATGTTCAAGAAGTCACAGACAATGGTTAGTAGTTCTTCAGCCTAATTCCTTTGCTCCTCAAAAAACAAAGGAAAAGGTATACCTCCAAGAACAGAGGTAAATTCGTCTCAAAATAAAGCATTAGTGTTCAGTGGACAGACTTCCCTTGGATAAGGGATCCGCAAGAGCCAACAAATGATTCACGTTCTTCGCGTCCATCCATGCGTCAGTTTCCTTCACGCCCAGGCCCCGTCGCGCTCTGAGGTTCCGCCTCTAACCGGGAAGCAGCCCCTAACTAGTGTCTAGCCGCAACTCCCCTCCCTCTAGCCGGAGCCAGCTCGCGGCAATGCCCTGTGCCCCGCACTCGCCCTATCACGGCCCTCGCAGACTGCGTTTTCAGGGTGTCCACTTACCCGCCCGTCTGTGCTACGGCTCGGTACAGGAGTCCTACACCCTAGCTCCTGCCCCGTGCTTGGCACCCAATAAACATTTGTGGCACGTTGGAAAAGAAAGGGGCAGGTGCACTCTCCACTTCCCCAACTGGGCCTCCTCCGGCTGTTTCTCTCTAAGCCCTCTTCCACCTCTACTCTCCGGTCCAGCTCCCGACCGCCTCCTTCCCCGCCCTCCCGCCATCCTTACTTGGGAGAAGACGCGCGGCGGACCCAGCAACTGCGGGTTCACAGGATGTATGGGTCTGCGCACCGCCGGCGCCAGATAGCGGGCGCTGCTTGGAGGGGCGGAGCCAGAACCCCAGATCTGGTGAGCCGGAGACGCTAGCCAATCAGGGGCCTGAGCCATAAGCTGATGTGACGGCAGATCGCGCGACTTGACTGAGCGGGGCTCTACGCGGGACCCACCGCGATCACGTGGCCGCCGAGCGCTTGGCCACACCCCCTTCTCCTGCAGGAAGGCTGGACGCGACCTGAGTTAGGTGGTGTAGCTTGCCTTCTGGTTTGCTTGTTCTTTTCCTTGTAACTAGCACTGACGTCTGGAGCTTAGAGTCCTGTACCAAGTAAATTTACCGTTTCTACAAATGATGCTACAGCCTAAGGGGAATAGGTGACTCTGCTCCGCTCTCGAGTGAGACGGCCTCACGGGAGTGCCGTAGTTTACTTTTTTGTGTGAGTGTGTAGCTTTCATTTTTCGTGGTTGTCAGCCTTTGCTAAATGCGCCTTGCGGCGGTCACCCTTGTGATGGGGCTTCCTGGTCGCAGCAGCGTGGTGAGCCTCCCGCACGAGCCGCGGCGGCCACAGGGTAGCTGCAGAGGCGGCTTTGCCCAACTGCGCTTACCAGCGGCACCGGAAACCCAGGAGGCGGGGGAGGCCGTGTTTCAGAGCGAGTCTACTGTTTGGTCCAGTTTAGAACCACTGCTCTGGCAGACTTAACCAATCCGAAGAAAATCTGATTAGTCGTTTAATTTTGTTTCCTCTCGACTGATAAACAAAAGAAAATACGTGAAAATATGCGATGACTAAGTTTGGGGAAAACCATTTCTGTTTTCTTATAGGACCAAAAGAAGTGCTGCAATTAAGAGGGAAATTATTAGAGTACAGTCGGAACCTTCCGTGTCAATATTGTTTTCAATATCTGTAGCTTGCCTTCTCCTTTTTAAAAAAAATTGCTGTTATAACATCAGTGTCAGATTGATACAGGGTGGGGGGGGCAAAAAGGATTTGGAATGGTGTCTAGAATTCAAAGTGTGTAAGAATATTGGAGAGACATAAAATGTCCTCAACCCGCCCCCCTCCAGGTCTGAGTTGGGGGAAGGAACAAATGGAGCAGGGCCATTGAGAGTTGTTTTGCATAGCAACAGTTTCGCAGCTAACCTCTGGAATGATTATTTAACCTATCTATAACCTTTAACTGGTTTCATAGGTATGTTAAATAACTGGGCCCAAGCTTTGAGCCAGGGAGAAGAGAGTGGTTTCTACCCAGAATGTAACTGGGGGCTGGTTTCCTAAGTTACAGTGCCTGCGTGAGAGCTTGGAATTGATTGGCTCAACGCCATAAGGCCATATCTGCCAAGACTAATGATGGCAGCCCAGTAAAGCTGGGAAGGTATGAGAGTCCTGGCAGGTGTAACTGATTGTAGGAGGAGTCGAAAATGGGGCTGCAAAGGAAGATGGGTGTGGAGATTTAAACCGAGACTCTAGCAGCCAGGTGAAGAGGGAAGCAGGCAGTTTCAGCAGAGTGAAAGAGTATACCACTTGGCTTTGCCAGAACGTAGACCCCTGCAGCCAGATGAAAGAGAGAGCCACGAGATCGCAGCTGAGTTAAGACCCCCCCCTCTTGCTGAGGTGAAGAGGAGAGAGAGCCACGCGGTTTTGGCCAGAGTGCAGACCCCAGAAGCTAGGTGAAAGGGAGAGCCACGCGGTTTTGGCAGAGTGTGGACCCCCTCTTTCCCGAGTGAAAGGGAAAACCATGCAGCTTTGCCAGAATGGAGATCCCTGCAGCCAGGTGAAGAACAAAGACACATGCTTTTGGTGGGGTGCGGACCCCTGCAGCTTTGGTAGAAGAGGCCCAGCAGCTTTGGGGTGTCCCCTTTGGCTGCGTGGCCTGGAAAGCAGGAAAGACTTTGACTGGAACTGGATACAAAGAACTCTTGCCAGTGGACCATGAAAGGGTGCCACATGACTTTTGGATTAACTAGAGAGAGATCCTGACTGCTCAGTGACACAGCTGACGTCAATGGCCTGAAACGCAGACTTGAGCTCTTTTCCTAATTTACCGTACCCGGAATTGGGACAGTGGGAGAAGGGAGCGCTGTGTGGGTGTAGGTGTATACCCTAAAGGACTTTGATATTTTAATGGAGGCGTTAGGCCTGAATAGCATTAAATAAACATTTCGTTTCCTTTTCACAAGACATTGAGAGATGTCTTTCCAATTGGCGGAGGACAGATGAGCCCAGCAGATATTAGTATTCTGTCCTTGGGAGGGGCCCCTGTTCTGTAGCAGTTTTTGGCATCCCTAGGTGGGCAAAATATTGTCCCCTTCCGGACCTCTTGTTTGGTAACAAGAGGAACGAAATTTTATACTTGTACATATGGTAAAATTGCCTCCTCCATTCTGAATCACATTTCTTTTTTTCTTTCCTTTGTTATTTCATTCTTTAGTTTTTTAGATTAAAATTTTTATATTCTTATTTGAGAAAAAATAAAAATAAGCTTTAAAAGGTATTTACATAGTACAAAGGTTTCAAATTTGTGGCTGCTGTAGGATAGATCTTGCCTATATTTCGTTTAGTCCACACATATTTTTCCCTTTAATTTTACATTTAAAAGTAATAGACTTGAAAGATTGGGAAATCTGACATTGAAATTATAAACAAATTTCAAATATAATATTCTGAATACAGAGGATTGTATCATTAAATATATACTGGTGGTCTTTTATTCTTGAAATTATCAGTTCCCAAGGTTTGAAAATATGCAGCCTGCTCTTGCTACTCTGAATTAGTAATGAATTAACCCCAAGAGAATAATCTTTTTTAAAAGATTAATTTTAAGTGTGTTAACAGAGCATTCTAGGATGCAACTTTCCTTGTCCAGGAATAATGTTAAGAATATTTATTCATCATTTACAAACTTATGTCATATCTAGCTAGTGCCAAGGAATTCGGAGATAAGCAATCATTCCTGCCTACACGTCTGGTTGAGACATAAATGTATAAACAAGCCATTCAATCGTGTATTCGATAAGTAGTTACTAAGAGGCTGAGATGTGCCAGCTAGTGTTCCATGCACATAATATATATATATTGGTGAGTTAGGAAAATAAAGCCCTGCCTCATGAAGTTTATATACTAACGAAGGGACATTAAGCAAGCAAATATATAATACAATGTCAGATAGTGATAAACGCTCTAAAGAAAAAACCAGAAAACAAGAGGTAAAGGGGTCAAAATTGATGAGGCCTGTTTCTTTATACAGCAAGGTCAGAGTCAGCTTCTCTAAGGGGGAACATTTGACCTCAATGGAGAAGATACATTCAACTGAGATATAGAATCAGAATGTTTTTGGTGAACAGGTGGGGCTGCTGGCTCACAAATATTTATTTGTATGAATTTATTTATTAGGGTGAACGTACTATTCAAGAAAAGGTGGGTAGTAAGTATTCAAAAGTAGATTATAGGAAGAAAAATTGTTTATTCCTCTGCCTGGCCCCAAGGACTGGGTTTTTACTTACAGTATGGTACTTAACACTTTAGGGGTCAGAGACCCCTCTGAACATTTAATAGAAACTATAGTCTCACTTGCCAGAAATGGTAAGAGCTCTTCCCTAACCACTGTCCACTTAATTAGTATTCTTATTTCCCTTTCTGGAATACGACAACTGATTCCTCTAAAATACTGACGATTCACAGCTGTAGCCTTCACTTTGGTCGACCCCTGCATACCTGCTTTTACCAGCTAAGTGGAATGCTTACCACGAGTCAATTATATTTGTTTCCAATATGTTTATTTTCATTGTACTTCTCAAGATTACATAATTAAATTACATAAATTGATAAAATTTGAGTCTGCAAAGAGAAAGAATTGTTTCTTTGAAAACCAAGAAGAATGCTTTGGAAAAACCAGATCAAGATGATTGCTAATAAAAATAGCCATTGAGCCCTGGCTGGTGTAGCTCAGTGGATTGAGCACAGGCTGTGAACAAAAGGGTTGCCGGTTCAATTCCCAGTCAGGGCACATGCCTGGGTTGCAAACCAAGTCCCCCAGTGGGGGCCACATGAGAGGCAACCACACATTGATGTTTCTCTCCTCTTTCTCCCTCCCTTCCTCTCTCTCTAAAAATAAATTTTATATATATATATATATTTAAAAATTAAAAATAGCCATTGAGTTAGGTATGATTTTTTAAGCCCCTAATCTAGTAGGAGTCTTCAATTTGCTTTGCAAGAGTCTTTCACTTGTTTCCACTTTGAACAAAATAAAGTTGAAAATCCAGTGCAAAGCACTAGGAGTATAGTTTAAGCAAGAAAGACTACCAGAACTCCAATCAGAGGAACCATATTTTTAAAAAGACCTTAATGAGCCTTGGCTGGTGTGTCTCAGTGGACTGAGCACTGGCCTGTGAACTAAAGGGTCACCGGTTCATTCCCAGTCAGGATGTATGCCTGGGTTGTGGGTCATATCCCCAGTAGGGGGCACACAAGAAGCATCCACATACTAATGCTTCTCTCCTTTTACCTCTCTAATAGTAAATATCTTTAAAAATTTTTTTAAAGTCCTTCTGAATGACTGTGGAATAAGTATTTAGATAAAAAAATTCTTAAGATATATATATATATAGTAAGTGGAGGCAATCTTGGCTTCCTCACCCAGGTGTCTGGGTAACTAAGGGAAGCAGTGTTCCCATGGCCTTGGAGGGGCCTGACAACCAGTGTTCTCGCAGCCTTGAGCCTGAGTCTGAAACTGTTTCCATAATGTGAAGTGGGCTTACATGTGCAGAATTATCTTATACAATGTTCTGGCAGTTTTCCAGCTTCGTTTCCCTCTAGTACTTACACAGGTAGGGACTCCCTGCTGGGGGTGATGATGAGAGACACGCAAGGGGACAGGTGCTATGATGGGTGCCATGCTGGGGAGCAGGGACCACGACAGGAGACATGCAGATAGACACGCAGCTTGCAGTATGCTTGGCTTGCCCACCCATGAATAAAAGCTCTGTGAATATTTTCCTGTCTGCACAAATACCGTGAACCTGTCTGGCCTCGAAGGGTGGCAACACAATATATTAATAAGGAA